TGGATGCCCAGAGAAGTATTCAGAGCTGCCAGAATATCCAGATAACGTTAGCACCTTTATACCCTCCTAGCAACTGTATAAAGCAGGGAATCACATTCTCTCCATTGCAAAGATGGAAAACCAAGGCAAGAGGAGATGAGAGCTCCGGAGCCACAATGGTACATAGACACTTGGATGCCCAGTAACGCTTGACATCGAATTACCGTAATGGGTCTGAATGGGGTGATTTATGGCAGGTTACTCAGGGAGGCCCTGCCTCAGTTTCCCCACCTCTGCTTTGTCTATTAGTGCATTTCCTGACAGAGGTGTTTCAAAGTCTTAATTAACTGTTGCTCATAAATAAAGCAGGAATTATGGGATGAAAGACTCCACAGAAGGGCAAAGTATCGTGCTTATCCAGTGCGCTCGCTTATCTGAATACTTCCAAGTCCCACAAAGCCAGCTCTTACTGAGCATGCACGAAGTATGGTTTAATATGAGATCACCGGTAAATTATTAATCATAGCATACATTCTGCAGCCTTCCAGAAATTATTATTGTCCCTAGGTTATGACTGTAGTGAGTAGCGAGGGTGTGTGAGACTTTTTTGCTCATGCTACTAAGCGAATGATAGCTGGAAACATTAAAATCAACAAGATACAGGGCTGTTCCTCCCTTCAAGAGTATGTCTGAGAGCAGCTTCAGCTTGTCTGGCCCAGATTATATTGGGTGAAGCAATAAATAAATAGTGTCAGAAAGCTGCCGATGTTCTACATATTGAGTGCCAAAGCAAAACTAAGGAATGGCGTGAAACTTTTGCGTTGAGTTAGGCTGTCTGCCGCAGCACATTGTGATAGTCTCTGCCCGCGGAGATCCTTTTCACAAACCGCTGGGGACTTTTAAAGCTGAAATCTGTCTGTTGATTTTTGTTCTGGGCCTGGTTTTGGACTGGAAGGTGTCTGGTGGTCAGAGCTAGCTGTGGCTGCACGAGCAGGCGGTGAGAAGGTGCTGGAGCCGTCCCTGCCGGGGAGCTCCCCAGCAGCCTGGCGTGAAGCAGCGCGCTCAAGCTGGCGGCAGGAAGGACTGGAGCGTGGCGTCAACAGAGCGATGCGCTCACAGGCAACCCGTGGTGTGATGTGCCGAGCATAACAGCTCTGGCCAGCTGATTACTTATTGATGCTGCAGTTGGTGCCCTTATCTGCTCAGCTCATCTTGTGTCTCGCATGCCTAGGTCCTCTGCTGAATCCCCTTATCGTGTTCTGCCCTACTGAGTCAGAGCTGAAGCAGTGGCTTTATCACCTGGAGAAGCAGATCCAGCTAAATGGAGGAAGCCTTAGCTTGCCCTTCCTCTCTCAGGTTAGTGTCTGGGGATGGTGAGGTGCGCGGCCGTTTCCCATGCTGTGAGCTCAGAGCTGAACGACCGGGGAAGCTGGGCCAGCTGGGTGGATGCTGCACTGCTCCTGCTGCGGTCGGTGGGAGGGGTAATCTCTGCAGCTTTTTTCGCCACACTTCTCAGCGCTCACCTAACACCTTCCTCTTGCAGAATCCTGAGTGCCCCATGGGGTCTGGGTGCCTCCTCCAGGCTGGAGAGCTTGAGCAGAGGGCTGGGCTTGGAAAGGGAGAGGGGCTCTGGGTCCGCTTCCAAATGCTTCTTGCTGTGCTTGCTGCTCTTTCCAAATGTTGGAAGGAGGTGTGGGGTTAACTCCTGGCCTAATCCCCTTTTTCCAGGCCAGCCGCTTGAGCGCTTTGCTGCATCAGTCAGGGAGCTGCCCCTCCGGCATGGTGCACAGGGGTTTTGGTGCCACTGGTGGCACCAGTAGTAGTGGTGGTACCACTTCCAGCAGCTGCCAGGGCGGTGCACGGTCTGTAGTTCAGCCCTTCCAACACGGGGCAATCGTCCCCTCTCTGCCAGCACCACGTACCAGCCTCGCCAGAGCGCTGGCCTGAGCCAGGGCAGCAGCGTGGCGAGCGCCTGCGTGTGGCCCCGGCTGCTTGCTGCCCGAGGCACCTGCAAGTTTGCCAGCGCCTGGAGCTGGCCCTGGGCAATACACGTCACAGCTCCTGCTTCCTTTAGTTATTCCACCACCCCTAAAATAACCATGGATGGACATGCTAATTACCCACACTTGACAGACATATTCTTGCTTGGGAACATCTCTGCCTGTGGAAGAACCATGTATTTGTGTTCAGACGGCCTTAGGATCTGAGGTCTGTGCAACCAGCACCGGAGCGAGTGTGGGATTTCAGTCTGAATGGCAACCCCAAAGGCGCTCTGTACTGCTGAGACCTGACAACAGCTTGCTGCATTTCTGCTGCGTGTGTGTGCACACACAGCTTCTAATTTTGGAGCTTGCCTTTTGTGCAGGCTCCTGCGAGGGAAGGGTGCAAAAAGAAAGGCTTTGCCAAAGGGCCTGGCAGGGCGTGTGTGCTGAAAGGGAGACCTGCGACCCAGGGGTGCCACCGCCACAGCCTCTGAAGGGTCAGAGGTTTGGGTCTGGTTCAGAGAAAATCTCACACAGCTGGCTGCTTGTGCAATTATCCAGAGTTTATGAAACATTTGGAGGAGGAGGCTGGGACCGGGGCCTAGAAAACAGGACCAGATTCAAGAGACCTGTCTTCTCTTCCAGTCTCTGTGGGGTGTTTTACTTCCCTCCCTATTTCCATCTCCCCATGGAGAGGTGTTCCCCTTTGAAAGCAATGTACAGATGATGCTAGGTACCAAGTATGATTTTTCAGTCCCAGCTGGAAAACTGGCTCCTGCACAGATTTATTTACTCTTTCCTGCTTCTGCCACACTTGAAAAGTGTCCAGAGATGGGCCACGCGCTAGCTAAACTCTTAGGGGAGGACATGTCGACCCTGCTTCTCAGTTCTGCTCCTGTGCCTAGAACGACTGGAAGCAGAGCTCCATGGGGAAGGAGGAGCTGCGGTGGTCCGTGCAGAACATGCCTGTCCAAGACTGGAGAGGGACCCAGCGGGAATCCCTAGGCGATGTCCTCTGTGTTTCCAAAGTGAAGCTTCAGCATCTGCCTTTCCAGGTAGGACACATCCCCGGGGAGCAACCTCCTGTCAGCATGGCTCAGAAAAGGCAATGAGTGGAGTGACTGGCGCAGACTCCTGCCTGCCTGCTGCCGCTAATCCAGCGGGTCCGCGAAGGGTCCTTTTACCCACATCCTGGTAAATGGAAAAAGCTTTGTTACTGCTCCGTGGCCCAGCAGCGGTGCTTGGGGGCAGCACGTGCATAAGCATTTGCAGGACAGGGCTGGCAGCTGGAGCTGGCAGGAGTTGCCCGTGGAGCCCCGTTGCAAGGAAGCAGCTCAGCTGTTTCCAGAGCCCTTGCCTCAGGCTGCTGTCAGAGAGACAAAGTGAAGGGCTCTCCAGATCTAAGCCCTGTCTGGCTGTTCACGGGGAACCCTCTTCTTTACTTTCCAAGGAGCAGCATGACCGGCTGTTGGTGCTTTACCCGTCCACGCTGGTGATAGTATCTGAAGAGCGCAACAGCCTCTGTTTTAAGGTAGGTTCATTTTGAAGCACCTTCCTGCTCTCTCTCACCCATCCTCAGTGGCTCTTTCAGCACTTCTTTGGCTTGTTGCTCCCCTCCACCTGGGTTCCCTTGTGCTCCTCGTGTTGGCGAGGGCTTTCCCTCCACGCTGCTCCCTTGCCAGCTGGCAGGTGAGCAGGCAGAGGGATGTTGCGAGCTATCTTCCCATGAGAAACACCTTGCCCTCCTACAAAAACCCGGGGGGAAAGGAGCTGGCTGCCAAGGAATCTGGGTCTCTGGGAGGAGGGAGGCTGGCGTGTTTCTGTGTGGTGATGCTGGCGGAGAGCCTGGCTCGCTTGCTTGAGACAGGAGCTGGAGCAGCCCCAGAGATTGCCCCCGCGGGGGCTTGGCTTCCCAGGCCCCGCTCTGTGGGACCACTTGAAAGCAGGTAGCATCCGGGCGGCGCATCTGATGCTCGTGGGGAAGGGCGAAGGCAGTTAGCTGGCTGGCAGAGAGGAGAGGCTGGAAAAAAATGCGAGTCGTTCCCTCTGTGGAGCAAGGGCCCCGAGCAATGCCTGGGCATGCCAGCGGAAGGGCCAACGAGGACGTGGAGGCCTGAGTGCCCCAGGGGACGTGAGAAGAGCTTCTCCAGTCCTCTGGTGTGTCTTTCCTTGTAGGAGCAATGCTGGGAGCCTCAGCACAGATGGGCAGTGGCACTGTGGGCCCTGGGAACTGCATTTGCATTGCGTGCGGTCTGAATGGCCCTTAAACTTGATTGCAACATCCATCTTAGACATCATCGCAGTGGCTATTATCAGCCCTGTGCTGTCTGGCCCCGTTTTCCCATGCTAGAACAAATGTGCCAAAAAGAGCGCTCAGCTGTCTCTGAACCTGCAGGTGTGGCACCGCTGGCATATGGCGGAGCGGAGCCGGGCTGC